CCGTGCCAACAGGGACAGAAATAAAGGTCACAGGCGGCTGCCGCGTTTCCAGGGAGCCGCATTTGCTCTTACACCTTTAAAGGACAGGGCCACTTATCGCAGTGCACGGTCCTCTCCCAATAATGAGTAATTTAAGCAGATTTTCCATCTCCAAGCCACCACGGGCCATCCACGACATTCAGACCGGGGATCGAGTCTACTTTTTCTCGTCATTTTATAATTTGAAAAAATGTTTCATTAAGGTCAAAGTTGGTGCCGACCATTTGAAATGGGTAATACATTTAAAATCGGAGAACGCAGCACGACAATGGTTGAAGATGGATGGCATAGAAAGCAACGAATGCAGCAGAAATGAGGGTGTCGATTGACAATTCCCAAATAGCATTCCTCAGATAAAGAGTTGGAACCATAACCCTTGATTAAAATTGTATGCAGAGATCTATAGCAAAAACATCGTCTATCCCTGCATTGAAACCATGGTTTTGATGAAGGGGTAAAATTCCAGATACCTAAAGAAGTAAACACTTGCCCTTCACACGATGAAAAAATTGAATATTCCTGGACCAGCAGCTATAAACTGTGGACATTATCAAATAAGCAAGACTAGGTGTTGTGACAAAGTTAGCGGATATATTTACTAAACGTTTACACAGAAATTAAACACCTCAATCTTGGAATGATACCTCAATCATTCTTCTATTCAATAAAGCTGATAAAATCGACTGGAGGAATTGAAGACCCATTAGGTGCCTCTTATCGCACGTATATAAATTGTTCACGGAGATCATTGGGAATAGAATAAAATAAAATTTAGAGGCCGACCGGCCACTTGAGCAAGCAGAGTTGAAGAAATGATTCTCTTACATCGATCACATAAATACTATCCACCAGATCCTGGAAAAGATTAAAGGACTATCAATGGACATTACGCAGGGCCTCTGCGGATTATGAAATCGCATTGAAAATTGATGCAATCATCCGACCACTAACAAATCAGGGGTCTAAATAAAATAAACGTATGAAATTATCACAAAAAATCATCAAAAATGGAACCTCTAAACTGAGATTACATATAAAAAAAGTTATAGAGTACATATTACAAAGTTGAGTCAGACAAACAGAGGAAGGCTATTCACAGGAACAATATAATGTTTTCTGAGAATTAGACCTGAGAAGTAAAGGCATCATTATGAATGGAGAAAACATGAACCATGTCGGATTAGCCGAAAACAGTCTTCATATTATCCAGAAAAAATTAACTCGGAATTATAGAGAACGATAAACGGGCTAAAGTCACTTACAACAATCTCCCCAGAAAACACGAAACTGGTGAACGCTGGGCCAACTTGTGGGCCAACGGTTTCCAGCACGTGGCAATATTGGCCCATTGTTTGGATGTTTACTGGGTTGCCAAACAATTACACATATACGTAGAAGGAAGACAAATAGAAAACACCATAGAGTATGTATACCTCGGACGGTTATTGAACGTGAACCGAGATAAAACAGTGTTTAAATAAAGAGGCACACGACAAAAGGTTGCGGTGCTATGGGGAAACTGAACCTAATGATAGAAATCAACGTCGCAATTTACCTAAAGAAGACCGCGTTTAATCAGTGCACATCACCCACTGTGACTTATGGATCAGACACATGGACACTGACAAAGAAAACGGAACGACAGATTGAACGTGCACAAAGAAGCGTGGATATGTGAATGCACGGAGTGACACTGGAGGACAGGAAGAGGAACGGATGCTTGGGAGAATGCACGCAGGTTGGAGACATTGTATTGACTGCGAAGAAATGTAAGTGAGTGAGGGCAGCATGCAAGGCGAGGAGAGATGAAGGCTGGCGGTCGAGACTCGCGACATAGCAGCAACTAAAGGAGGGAACACGCCGGAGAGGATGTCCACTGCAGAGACAGAGTGCAGAAATCAGCTGACATGTAAGTGCCAAGATGGATTGCTGAATTGCAAGACCATGAGAGATGATGACAGCTTGGGAGGGGGGGGGCGGGGACAGGGAGGAGGCCGTCATCCAGCAGTGGATTGATCAGTGCTCATGACGACGATTACGATGCTTCGGATGGACAAACAGATAAGCGTACGTCGCGTACGTCACGTACGGCACTTGCACCGACAGAAGAGACTCCGCCTCTCCCGCACGTGCAGGTCATCTCTCAATGAACGACCGCGTTCACTTTCTTAATATTCCTCTATCGATATTGGGCAAGTGATGCGATGCGTTTGAGAATCTAAAGTATCACCATTCACAGCACAAACGCCACCATCCCCCTTCGTCTCTCTCTCTCTCTCTGAGGCCCGTTGTTTCATCAGGGGACTTGAATCTTGTTCTGTGCCGGAGGGACTGCACCCCCCCCCCCCCGCAAGGCGCTCGCGCTGATGATGACGGCGTGGCACCCGCGACTCAGTTCAGCATCGTGGCCTCATTACCCTCCTGTGACAAACGCTTCGTCAAGTGTCCGCACACGTCAGGACCGACGAAGAGGACGGTGAGGGCGCCGCTCCGCCTGCGTTTACCGGAGTTTCATCTGCGGGTTTTTTTCTTCCCCCCCACGCCCCCCCCCCAACAGCGGTGGAGAAACGGCAGGCGAGGTTTTTATTCCCACAAGCGCAACGCCCATCAAACACAAGTACCATAAACAACTGGGCGGCGCCGCGCAATCCATTTGTGCGTGCGGAGTTTGGATCGTTGTAAATCACGCAGACTTCATCGTGACAAATATGGTTTTCAAGTCCGCGCATTTGCCAGTGATGACGGTCGTCATTGATCCGGAGCCCTTATTTACAGCAACATTAGCAGCAGCACAGAGCGCGCAGCGCAGGCATGCGCCCTGCGCGATGGGAACGTGTTCGGGAGAGAGCAAACTACCGTGTGGTGCAGGGTGGAGTGTGAAGGTGGAGTGTGAGGGTGGAGTGTGAGTGAAGTGAGGGGTGGAGTGAAGGTGGAGTGAGGGTGGAGTGAGGGTGGAGAGAGGGGTGGAGTAAAGGTGGAGTGTGAGGGTGGAGTGAGGGGTGGAGTGAGGGGTAGAGTGAGAGGTGGAGTGAGGGTGGAGTGAGGGGTGGAGTGAGGGGTGCAGTGAGGGGTGGAGTGAGGGGTGGAGTGTGAGGGGGGAGTGAGGGTGAAGTGTGAGGGTGGAGTGAGGGTGGAGTGAGGGGTGGAGTGTGAGGGTGGAGTGAGGGGTGGAGTGAGGGGTGGAGTGTGAGGGTGGAGTGAGGGTGGAGTGAGGGTGGAGTGAGAGGGGTGGAGTGAGGGTGGAGTGAGGGTGGAGTGAGGGTGGAGTGAGGGTGAAGTGAGGATGGAGTGAGGGTGGAGTGAGGGTGGAGTCAGGGTAACGTGAGGGTGGAGTCAGGGTGGAGTGTGAGCTCTGAGGCCTCGGAGCGTCACCCTGTTGAGCTTCTCCCCCTCTCTCTGTGCCGGGGGAGCTGAGGGCGTCCGCTCGCTGGCATGTCGCGCGCATGACGGGCGGAATGTCCAGACCCAAATAAAATGTTTAAAAACCCGGCGCACACAATAAAACACGCGCAGACGCGGCCGGGAATGACAAACGGCCCTCGAGAGGGGTGAATCCAATTAAACAGAAGGAGCTTCAAATCGACAGGGCTTGCATGCAAATGCCCGGAGATGCAACCGGCACCGCTTACGTCTTATGTGTCCGGCATGCCCGGCATTAATAACGCTGAGTACGTTCTCGGTATTAGATAACATTCATAAAGGAAGAGTAAATGTGCATTTAGACACATTTAGAAAATGAAGTCGGGGAAGAGCCCAGTATATCAGTAAAAATGATGGACGACGAGGCCATCTGTAACACTAAAACACAAATTACCAGCGCCAGTTACTCTCCTTTATTATTCGGGCATCGAGGCGCCGCGTTGCTGCATTCAGTTGGACTCCCCTCCTCGCCGGGCCGTCTCTCACATGAATAATGATTAATAGGTTGTATTACACTGCAAATTAACAAGCTCTTTACACATCATCGCCCTTGCCTTTTTCCTTCTCTCTAATGATACTCTGCTATACAAATGGGAAATTGTATAACTGTTCAAGGTTTCATTGCGCAGCCAATTTTTGCTAATGCATTAGTTCATTTAGACGAACAATACTTTTTTAAATATATATAAACATTGCGCAAGAGCCGGCTTAATTTAGAAAAAGGTCCCGTAACAAGTGCTGCTCCCACAGCGCACGCATCGACAACACGGCTTTAGGTGGCGGAAGTTAACGCCGGTGGAACGCCGATTTATCCGGGGCGGCGTTATTTTATTTGTTTGCCATCATTGCACCCACAGTGTTGTATCCTGCTGAGATAGACGACAGACGCAGGCACGGTAACTTTGCTGGCACTTGCTTATCCGAAGCCGGACCCTCTCCTCCCTCCACCTCCCATTCGCATGTGTGTCATTCAGAGCGTGGACCCCGCTCCCCTGTGACGAGCGCGATCGCTGCGATTACAGACGGCTCCCCCGGGCTCCTCTAGTCAGACCACCGCCCCACGGGCCATCCCCGCTACCCCCCCCCCCCCCCAAGCCTCCTTTTGGAAACAACCATAGAACGACCACCCCTCCTCGACCAGAAGGCACGTCGGTTGGCCCAAGAAGTGCGAATTAAATATTGTGGGCGATGCTTCCTCGTACCCTCACGAAACTCCACGAATAACTCACGGCCGTGAAGCCCGAATAATGACGCTCGGAGAGCGTGGGGCTTGCTGGCACAAAGCGGCTCAGGAGTTGAAGTCTCCATCGCCGCGTACGCCGGTGAGCACGGCCGCAAAACGAGCACGTGGCGCTGTCAACGGCACGTGCCGAGAAACACCGGTCGACGAAATTGGATTTGTGGCCTCGCTCGCCACTGTGGGGAGGATGCGCACTCAGGTCACGGAGATGCACCGCTCGTGTCGAGATGATGAATGACCCCGGTCGTGAAAATGCGTGCATGCACCACACACACGCACGCGCGTGCCGTTGGCCACTCACCTTCCTTGAGCATGCCCACCTTGAGGCACTTCATGAAGCGGCACGCCTGGCACGACTTGCGGCGCCGCTTGGTGATCTCGCACTCGTTGGTGGCCGGGCAGCTGTACTCGATGCTCCCTGCGCGCGGGGGCAGCGGTGGATAGTAGCGGCGGCGACGGCGGCAGCGGCGACACCGATGTGGCAACACAAAGCGGACGCAGGAGACAAGAACATTAGACACGGCAAGATGTGCCAGCGCTCGAGTTGACTGCGGTTAGGGGCAATTCATAGCGCCGGCGGATCCTGGACGGGCAGACAGCACGCTTCCACACACAGCGTCCAGACCAATCATTTAAAAATACGAACATGAAGACACCCTGGTCCATCTGCTGCTGGATGAGGGTCTTCCCAAGCCACGCCGGTTGTTGGGGCTATTCGACCGTACTCCACCATGCTGCTTAGTGTTGGTGAAGATAGGGGAGCACAGCAGTGAGACATAGAAGGAAATTTCAACCATTGATTTTTCTGTACTGCCCTCTGCTGTCCACCACATAGCTGATAATCCTACAACAACCTGCCATGCATGGTGGTCGTCCATCCAAACACCACCCAGTCTCAGACATGCTCAATCTCTGAGATTTGACGAGTTCAACTGCATCCACGGTGATTTGGTCATAATCCTCTAAAATGTGCTTAATGCTAATCTTAATTGACACTAAAACTTAGTTGGGTTCAATCATAATGTGGTGAAATTTACTTCTCAAAGAGGAACGACGTCACTCATTATGAATGGGACTCTTCAAATTCTTCACGTAGATGTTAAACGTGACAGCCTGTGACGAGTGTAGTTCATGCCGGATGAGTGAGAGTGAAATATGACCCATGTGGATGAGAGAAAGAGAGAGAAGCGTGATCCACGTGGATTAGAGTGAGTGAAGAGTGATCCATGGAGATAAGAGTGAGTGAATAGCGATCCGTGTGGATGAGAGAGAGAGAGAGAAGAGTGATACGTGTGGATGAGATTGAGTGAAGTTGTCCGGGTGGTATTGCCACTCATTAGACAAGACAGGGCACACAAGGGGCCTTGCTACATCATCCTCACACTGGATCAGAAGCAGCCAAGAAACCTTTACAGATCATTGAACCACATGCGTATTAGCGTAATTAGCACTCTGGCCCCTGGGGATGCAAGCCGAGATGAAATATTTCAGAGTTAATCACACTTAGTAAACACTGATTGATATTGACAAAACACGGTCGGTCGAAGCCAGGCATCGGAAAAAGCAGAGAAGCAGAAAGCAAACCACTGTCGATAATTTGCCGAGTGGACAACCTCAGGCGTCAGAACTTAATCACCCCTCGCTGCGCCGACGCGCAGAGACAGGAAAAACCCCTCACTTGATCCCGGGCCACTCCACTCCAATTCAAATGCAAATGCAGAGAGAAAAACTCGGATTCTTCAGCATTACTGAAGTGAAACGTGTGATTTTGTTGTCCGTTCTGATTTCATCTCTTCTTTAATTCCAAGTAATTTTTGCATTTAGAATGTAATTCCAGTATCCAATTACCGCGCCGTCGAGCACTTACGTAATTACCACGCAGGACTGTGGCTGTTCCGGACAAGAGCGCTTTTAAAATTAGACCCAAATATTTCACTCGGTGACACAGAGGAGCACAGCCCTTTTGAAATAATGTGTTCTTATTTTTGTGCTTCCTTTGTCTTTTTCTCAACTCAGCAAACACACACGCACATGCATATACATACCCACGCACGGAACACCCACGCGTGCAGACACACACACACACGTGCGCGCACAGCCAGACACGCAATATCAGATGACACAAAAAAGCGTATGTTTGCATTGACACAACAGTGGGCAACCGGCACACACTGAATGACACACGCAAATCTAACGCACGACACTCTCAATAAACTGCAAGAACGCCCATAATTAGTTCAATAACCATTTGTTCCATCTAAACAAAACTTTCTTTGGCACATTGAGAAAGAGTACACCCAGTGTAGACATCTGAGAAGGCATGGGGGTTCACTGAAGGGACTCTCGGCTGGGTAATGTATCCAGGTGGATGTAAATGCTTCGTGTCACTTTATAAAAACGCGACATGCACGTGAATAAATCAGCTGCTATAAGAGACAAGAATTTATATCATTCTGGACCACCGGACACGAAAGGTGCATGCCCGTGAACATATAAAGTAGTTTGCGAATTTTTTGGCAAAATCTGTATGGGTTCAAAAGGAAACTCCAGGTTCTCTCTGGACTTTGAACTCTGACTGCGGAGCCACCAGCAGCAGGAACCCGTTGCCCAGAGATCTCTGGCATGACCACTTCCACCGTACTCATCCTGCACAATGTGGGCCGCACGCGATTTGTGAAGAGCGCATGCAAATGCGTGGGGCTGTCAGCAGTGGAGCAAATCGGTGCTTTACCGCACGAAGAGGCGTGCAAACTAGGCGGAGTGCCGTTTCACGAGAGAAAACTATTCTGAGGCCGTGAAAGTCGAAGAACGCTTGAGAAAGGCCCGTACCTTGGATTGTGCGCTTGAAGAAGGCCTTACAGGCCTCGCACGAGGCAACGCCGTAGTGGTAGCCGGACGCCACGTCCCCGCACACCAGGCACAGGCGCTTGGGCATGGCGTTGAGCATGTACTCGCATTTGGCCGTGGGGTCATCCGTGAGCTGTGGGGGGCCTCCACCCCCCACTCCAGCCGAGCAGTCCTCGTAGCGCCGGCGCGGCACCGCCGCGTTGGGCATGCCGTGGAAGCCCACGGGGGGCGAGTCCAGGCCGTGGTGGTTGTGGTGATGGTGGTGGTTGTGGTGATTGTGATGGTGATGATGGTGGTGGCCGTTGATGCTGCCGGCGGTGGAGTAGCTGCCGCTGCCGTCGGAGGAGCCACCGGGGCTGTGGTGGCTGCTGGAGATGCCATCCAGCATGGAGCTGGGGCTCGACGGCTCCGTCTTGATGTATGAGCCCCCGTTGGAATCGATGCGGCGATCTTTGGCTGACATCCTGCTTAGGAGCCTGGGAACGACGTCAATAGAGAGGACAGGCGGGGGCGGCACGGGGGACAAGGGATACAAGAGCGATAAATTACCATAAATCTTGGGACTTTCTTGAAAGGCAAAAGCCGTCAGCATCAGTCACTCCACAGTCAATACGGCATGATGTATCGTCGTGAAAATACAAGGAAATTAAAATGACCCAAAGGAAGAATAATATACGTTCAGCAACATTTAAACCAAGTGGCCTATTTATTAAATATCTTTATTGTTCGATAAAGATGATGCACTTATACATCTGAAGAGTTCAAGAGGGTGTGCATTGCGTTTGCTCCGAGACGTAACTGGCGAACAGGCACGGCCCGTGAATCTGATCTGAGCGCAGGGTTCCTGACCGTCTGTGCGCCGCCGCCGCCGCCACAAGCACCGCTTGTTCGGCACAACGTGCGGCAGGCTCCTGCTAAAGGGAGTGTGCGCTGCCTCCCACGAGCACACGGTGCTCGGCGCACACGGGTAATTAGGCTTTGAGAGTGGGAGCAAAGGACGACAGACATTACCAGTTTGTGGTGCTACGTACTGCAGCGAAGTCATTTATTGTGGAATTGGTTGCTGTCTGTTGACATAGTGGATAGGGAGAATGGGGTTAATCCTGCAGCCCTGCCTTCCATGTCAGTAATCAGGAGATTTGAGGACACCAATTAATTACTGGCCTCATTAAGGATATTGGCTGGAGGGGAAAAGGGTGTGAGCGTGGGGCCGAGCTTAAGTGCACCGCAGAATTGTGAAGATGTCATGTTTTACACCTAACGCAGCACCCCTTAACCAGCACGGGGAACTATTAGCGTCAGTGGTGATTCATGGTGTAGGGTGCGGCCAATCAGCTGGGACCCGGCACGGCACAACCGCCGTGGCGCCTGCGGAGCGAGCGGACACCCCGAGCACGCATGAGATCAGCCCAGCGGTGCCGTCAGCTCGTGGAGTGAGGGCGTCTTGCCCAGCGCTACGGGCACCCCAGCGCCCTGGACCAGCGGCCCAGGCTGTGGCCATTCTGTGTTGGTGACGCTAGTGCTATATCTTCCACTAACACCACCACTACTAACTACCACTACCACCACCAACACTACAGTCCTCGTGTGTAAGTGGAAAAATCAGTTTGATAGGTAAGAAATGAACCAGAGCATGAGGGTGCCAGAGACACGATCATTGTAATGGAGTTGGTCAAAAACGTTGGAATTGTCCATGGCGTCCATAGCAATAGGAAGGTTTAACATAACTTGGAATGAGAGTGAGCTATGGTCTGAAGAGAGAAGGCCATTTACCACATGAAGGAAAGCAGTTTCAAAAGAATGGCCTTAGCAGAAACCAGTTTGTACTGAATCGTGGAGATCACGAAGGGAGAGGCGTTTGGGGACATGCGAGAAGATAACACCTATTCGGGCTTTTCTGATATAAAGAAATTTGAGATAGGAAGGACATCTGCAGGCATGCTGGGACAGTTTGGATTCTTCTTTTTTTGACAGCAGCAGTCTTGAAGGCTTGGGGAATGGTACTGGAGGAGACTAAAGTCTTGAACGAAGCAGGCGATTTACACACAGCGAGGCTACACAGTGAGGGATGAATTTGTGAAGCAGAGGATGGAGAATTGTAGGTTGGACATGATTGTAGTGACGCTGCTTATGGTGATGGACTGAGGAATGTCAAGGGAAGGTGACTGGGGAGTAATAGAAGCAGAGTCAGATACCAGAATGCAACTCTTGATGGTTTTACCAAAGCAGAAGAATTAGAGGAGAGTTGTTGGCAACTGAAGGAGAAGAAGTGAAATCTGGCTGTTCCTGATGCAGGAGGGAGTGCTGAAGAGGTATGTAGGGGTTTCCAGCACCTTTTTCGATCATAAGTCTGATTTGGACCTTGTCAAAGCCGACTGACATGATTTGATGTCTTCCAGACCTGATTATGGATTTCAAGGCCAGATTTCTTACACTGTCTCTCAAGCATAGAATCAATGAATGTTTGCTTACGAAGGGCGGTTGAGTATCAGAGGGTCGAGGATGTTCTGTAAGATGTACAGGTCTTTACAGGAGATAGATCATTCGTAGCAGTAGGCAATGGGGGATACTGAAGCTGGGATCGAAAGGCTGAATGCGGAAGCCGATAATTGAAGGGGATGGTTGTCTGGTGAGGTGCAATGCACGTTGGTGATTTGGAAAGAGGTGGCCTTGAGGTAAAAAGATACGTTTGTAAGGTGGTGGTCACAATAAGTTAAAGGTAAAATGGTGGTGAGAGTGATGGACTTGTGTGTTGGAGACGACTGTGGCCATGGGGCTGGGCTGAGTTGTTAAGATGAGATCAGCTGGGAGGGATTCATGAATTTCACGGGACTGGAGACTCAATTTACCAGCAATGGTGAGTGGAGGGGAGGAGAGACCTGACGTCGAGGTCAGATCTGAAAAGTTGGAGTTTGGATTCGGTGATCGGTGGACGACAGAGACTCTCGTGTTAGAGGGGGTCACAAGGTGATGGGAGGGGGTCACAAGGTGAGGGGAGGGGGTCAGAAGGTGAGGGGAGAGGCCCTCAAAAGAGGTGACATTTGGGAGAATTTATGGTATGGAATTTACAGATTGGTTTAGGGATGACATCAAATTTCACCACGCCAAACAGGGGAGTGAGTGCACTTGTAGAGTTGGCAGCCAGGGAGGAACAACTCAGAGTGAGTGGAGCTCAGAGGGTGTGCGTGTGTCAAGTCCCAGTGAGACAAACGATGTCTATGGTGCCCTCCTGCAGGAATATCGTCAACAAGAAACGACATTCAGCAGTATAAAATTGACAAAAGGGTGGCTGGCACGTTTGTGCACTAGGCCTCATGGTGATGGGGTTGTTGAGACAGGCATAGCGATTCCGACATAGGAGCTTGTGATATATATAGAGAGTGGGTAGAAAGCTTGGGGTGGTGGGCATATTTGGTGACAGGAAGTAGATGTGAGCCTACCTCAACCCCTATCACTACCACGACCACAACCCCTCCTTAACCACTCCTATCTGTCCTTCTTTCTGTCACCATAGCTACACAGCCACTTTTAATAACCCCACTCTCCATGTTATCCACTATCATCGAATGCACAATTATACTATCATTGTTTAGCGCCTGGGACAAAGGCACTATATACATATATACGATAAGATAGTAAAAAAAACGTATGGTAGAGTTGAGAGAACTGGGTGATATTCATGGTAGTGAGCTTTTGGGTTGGAAGTACTTTGGACAATGTTGGTACTGTTGGACTTGGAGTAGAGTCTGTTTCTCCTTGGGCCCCAGTCAAGAAGTGATGATTCCTAGCTGAGGCAGAGGGCATTGCCATCAAGAGGGGCTGAATAGTGAGACCACTTCATCTGAGAGCAATGAAGGTGGCCACAGAGTAGGTTTACACTCCCAACTCTGACACTACCAAAACTACCATAAACACAACTGCAACATTATCATTTCCAATACGGAGACTCCCACCACTAACACAACCGCCAATAACAACACCACCCTCGTATGTATGTATGTATGTATGTTGAACTTCTTTCGCACCGTACGTAGCCAACCGTGCTAATCTGCAGGTGCGGGAAGGACAGCAAACTAAATACTAAAAGCATTTCTAAACACACCATGACCAACCACATCACTACTACCAATACAACCACCACAACTACCACCACGGCCACTATCAGCACGAACACTACCACTGCGTAACACTGTAAATGTTGTGGATTTACTCTCCAACACACCGGTGGGATGAAATAGTAACTAATTGGTGCGTTGTTTACGTGACAAACCTTACTGGCTGTGTCGGGTGGTGGAGGGTTACGACACATTTACACTTACACAATCTAACCCAAAACCTTTATGAATTATTATGAGTAACACTACCAACACCACCACTATTACTACTGCTACGACTAACCTGCATGCCTGTACAACACTGCCTGCTATTGAAATTGTAATAATGTTGCCCTTTTACTATTATGAGTTATTTTCATTCTTTTTTTTAATCGAATCCAATTAAAACGTGTTTTTTTCTAAAACATATATGTGTTCCTAGAACTAATCTTTTAAACAATAATAACTGTAATGCTGGAGTGGCAGGTTCAAACTTCATCGAAGACATAATGTGTTTTTTCGACCCAAATTAAACATGTCCACATTGTAACATTTTGCTGGCATTAAAGTGATTCATTATGAGCCATGTATTATGCATACATCATTTATAAACCTATTCCCAACCCTCGCCCTTTGTAAGGCTATTATAAATCAACATTATCTCAGATGTTTGTCCCACATAGCAATGGATTACCGTTAATGTCCTATTATATCACGACAATTAAACTTTTATAAAAACATAGCTTGTGGTTAAAATCTACTTCTTTAGACTGCTAAGTGTCAGCTGTTCATCCCAATTGCTCAGGATGCACGTAGACGTACTTTTATTTAGGAAGTTTTAAAGTATAAAGGGAAATAAATTCACAAATCAAAGAAATATGCAACTGAATTTTATAGGATGTTTTCTTCTTTTCAATTCAAAGGTGTGAAGCTTGGAGAAACGTTTGCACATATACTTCTGTAAATACGTACTCACAGTCCATACATTGTGTCCTGAGTGGTCAAATAAAACATTGGAACAGGAAAGTGTTTCCCTCGGAAAGGTGAATGACTGCAACTCTAATGATACTGTGCACGCCGACCGCTGGAGTCTCAGCAAGTCAACTTAATGCAAACGGCGTGTCTCTACTGCATGTGCACACAATGAGTGCTTGTCTGAACACGGAGTACATATTCACTACATACACAGTGCATGTGTGTCTGTGTGTGCATGTGCACAGGTGGGGAGCAGTAGTCGAGCGGTTAGCGCACTGCGCTACGGACCTGGCGACATCAGCGACGATTATCTGAACCGGTGCTGGGCCTCCCCTAGGTCGACTCAGCCTCAAATGAGTACCTGGTGCAGTATGTAAACATCGCCACAGGGGAGATAAAGGCGGCCG